TCCACAGATACAAGCTTGGACATCAATTTTCAAAATCTATACACCTTAAATGATTGCATTCAACAATTTTCGAAATTTTCAAATGCTTTCCCATGTTTTCAGCAAAGCAAGGAGACCATACCACTTATGGAAATATGAAAAATGAACTACTGCTTTCATCAAAGCAAGGAGAACATGCAAACAACAAATTGTTGAAGTACCACAGCCTAAGGAGAACCATTCCTGAATTCGGATCGGCCAAGAAGTAAAAGATCTCACATGTTTGTATCATTCCAGAACTGGCCACATCCCTCACCAACAAATATTGGCTAAAAATAAAAGTATATCTAATATTAATTTCTATCTACACTGTTCTCTATGTTTGAGCGGTGGAAACCATAGGAAAATATATGGACCACATAGTTACCCTGCAACAAATCTCTTTCTAAATTCAGACCTTCAGTCTATATTTCTCCCTTACATCTCTTTCTTTTCACATGCAGTATTCCCCTTATGCAGAAGACAGGTACCATTCATGACCTCTTCAATAATGCAGCAGATTCCTATTACAGCAAGAAAAAAAAAGCTGCTGCTCATTCCATCCATATTCAAAGAATATAAACCACCCTACCAATATTGTCTACGTAATGCAAAAGAGCAAAACTGTAGGTAAATAGAGAGTACCCCATATCATTAATCTCATTCTAACCACTAAACTCATTCAGCTCTGCAAACAAACACTAACGTTGTCCCTTTCAATGTTACATCACAAATTCACTGGAGAAGATGACATTCTCTGTTACTAGAAAATAGCCAACTATCAGTGTTACTGAAGAGGTTCTCAGAAAAGAACCAACTGTCACATGTATTGCGTAAGAAGAATAATAAAGCACCTTTGCAAACAGTGGCAATTCTGAGCCCCTTGCTGCTAATAAAAGCAGCCACATATAGATACTGCACCTGGCCCACGAAGCTACAAAGATAATTAAAATGATCTAAAAATACAAAAACTGCATGTGAATATAAAATGAGCTGCTAGCAAAGCTGCTAATAAAAGCAGCCATATATAGCAACCCAGCAAGGAGTACTTGACATATAACCTACTCAATTATAATGCTTGCCCAGCTGAACAACATGAATACATATCTGTGCTGAGTTTCATGAGCTCATAATTGTTCACTGCATGCACAAATACACTGCCCATATGAGCATATAGCACATAACGTACAGCCAACAGACAGCTATCTCTACTGAAATATACTGCAACCATAGTAACCAACAGACAGACAACCACAAAAACCAATTTCCCGTCTCATTTAAAATCAAAGCATTACAGGGAAATTTGTTTATAACAGAACCATTTGAGAATTTTCAAACTTCTCAATTCTAAACCCATTTTCATTCAACACATTAAACTCATTCATTTCTAGAAGCGACAATGACATATCCCATTGTCGATTGCATGATGCTCAAACATATGGAGTACCTTCTGGACTCACCAAACATACGGAGTACATCAGAATCCGAGAAGTATTAGATCTGAACTAACCAAACATATGGAGTACCTACCATATCAAAAACAGATAAGTATCAAATCTTTCCACTTCTCCAACACATCAATAACAACATACAACAACTAACTGATGTTAAAATACATTTTTCTCGGTAGCTAGGGCACATCTTTCCAGCAAATGTAAAAATATGTAAACGTCCAAGTATTTATGGCATTAAATCAAATCAAATGTAGGAGCATATGCAAAAATAAGGTTTCTAAAAAACCTCAAAGATCTCAAGCCACAAAACCCTAAACCAACTGCTTTTTGCTTACAAATACGTAAATGATGTTGAGGTTTATGGATCTAACACTAAACATGAAACACAAACATGTATCACACCAGAAAGCCATGAACTGCAAAATTCATTTTTGCAGGAGAAACTACAGATCGAGGGAGGACGAGATGGGAGAGGAGAAAAGAAGACGAGGAAAGAACAAGAAGAAAAGAAAAGAGAGGAGGGAGCACTGTTTTTTTTACTAGAATACACCTTCTTAGTAGCTAGGGCACGAAGAACTAGGGCAAGCGAGAGTAGCGAGGGCAGCAAAGGAAAATAATATGCCTCAAACGCGATACACACCTATAGCCCCACGTTCACTGTTTAGCCTAAACAGTGAAACGTGGGTTTAAAAAACGCATGAGAGAAGCATGGACCAAACACAAAGGCGGCATTTTTGAAAATGCCGCCGCACTTTTAAGCTGCCCCAAACAGGCCCTTGGTATCTTGCATTTGGTTTTTTGCTTATTTAGCTACTCATTCAATTGGTATCTTGATATTTGGTTTTTTGCTTATTTAGCTACTCATTCAATTACCATTTTGTTCAAAACCTCATTTAGTTCATGGTTTATTAAGTTAAGTTGATTCTTAGCTTCACTTTTTAAGTGACTATGAAAATTTATTGCTCTAATAATGATATAATACATGACAATTTAGTGTTATGATTTATTTCGTATGTAACTAGTATGATGTAATATTTGTAAATCATTTAAAGGAACTAAAGCATTTGCCTGTTACAATTCACTAAATATGCAAACAACTTGCTTTCTGTAAATATTGCTGGTAAGTTTCTGAATTAGAACCCAGTTGGTAATCTAATTATTGAATAATTAGAACATATCAATGCGAAATTTGAACTCTATAAAGTCTATAAAATCAATGAATGCTTGTAATTTCATCAACATAAAATCAATGAATGATTGTAATTTCATCAACATACTCTATAAAATCAATGAATGATTGTAATTTCATCAACATATTGATTCAAAATTGCGTCAAATTTGTAGAAAATTTAGTTTAATAGCAAACAATAACAATCTCTAAAAGAAATTAGTTCAAATTGAAAAATTATCAAATTAAGAAATTTAGGCTTCCTGTTAATATAAAGTGATTACTTTCTTTCAAATCAGCTAGTTATGTTTGCATTGTACTTGAAGGAATCTCATTTCCAACTTGTAATCACAAAATAAAAAAAAAATCGAGTGGAAAATTTTATATAATCAAAGCTACCTAATTACATGCCTTAAAATGTATTTATAGACTCCTTATTTATTCTTTATTTACTTTTGTAGATATGGCTGGCATAACATCAACCCGTTTTGATTCTGGATAATCATAAGTTCACACTTTTAAATTATTGAAGATTAAGAATTTAATGAACAACATATTTTTTACCCTAGAAAGCATATGTCAAATACACTGTCCTGCAATAACAATACTTCCAGCAATACTTGTTTGAGTATGCAAAAGTAACAACATCCGTGTTATGCTTCATTCCCCTATTAAAAAGAATCATAGATAGCGGTTGTAGTCTTGAGCAAAGTTCCATCAAATGAGTTTGATTGGAAAGTGATTATCATTTTTATAGCAGCAAATGATACTGGAGCAAACATTTGAGTTTGATATTAACTGAAGGAAAAATGAATATAAATATTATTGAGGAAATAGTTGTGGTGAAAATGTAGGGAATTGTTTGTTTGCAATTCCTGTATTTAATTAAAAACGAAGCTAATCATCATATGAAACATCATTATCATAAATCAAAATTCCTTCATATTCCCTATAATTGTTCCAGCATATTAATCGCCAATTGTGTTATGCGCTTCAGTGCACTTAAAACAAATAGCACCCACAACTTTTTGTTGTTTTATATCTTGCAACAATGATAGAGCTTGGGGTGCTCCTTGCTATTTTTTGAGCTAGAGTGTGATATTTTGTGCAATTAACCAATATCATCCTAACAAGACCTTAGGAACCTGAATAGTTGGTCTACAGTTGTGGTCATTAATTTGCATAGAGGTTGCCATACATTCTATGTAATTTATTTTTTACTATTTTAAAATTGTGCTATTGTCAAGTATCATCTCAAGAACATCTTAGGAGTCCAAATAGCTGGCTCACACGTGCATTCAGCTGAAATTTGATCCCCCATAAAAAAGAAAAAATTGCCATTTCTTTTATGTAATTTTCTTTTTATTTTTTATTTGTTATTCAATTTATTATATGTTAAGATGTGCAACTTTTATTAGTTTCTCATGAGAAAAGGCCTATCAAGAATGTAGGATACATAGGATGGGATGTAGCTTGTGTAATGTACTCAAGGTAAGGTACAATGTGCCCACAATGAACACTGTGCTCTTGAAACTTTTGCTATCTACCAAATTTCATGATAGACTCCATTAAGTGCATGCTTTTCCACCAAATTTCATGATAGACTCCATCAAGTGCTTGCTTTTCTCAGAGCTTACAACAAAAAAATGCTAAGAATGACAATGTAAAGGAAAGAAAATAATACTTTTACTGCATGGTCTTTCAAACATAAAATAATAAGAATGCATTTGGACCTAAGTCTGACATGCCATGGACAATCTACCTCTCATTCGAGAGCTCATCACATTGGTCATCATTCTTCCTAAAATTGAAATTTATTCAACGCCATCAAGTTTCATGCATCAAAAGCTAACTAAACCACATTATGACACTGTCAGAGTCATCCTCTCATGAACCTATTTAGCTATGGTGGAATGTTGGCTAAGAATATGGGTGCCATAAACCGCAGGAATTACTCTATCTCTATCAAACCAACATTCTAATACTTGTTAGAGGGTATGAAACCAAAAGTGGATCCAAGTTTTGCTAGATATGGTAGTTGTTAAATTTATTTTCAAGTCAAAAAGTTCAGATTTAGAATATTTCTACTTCAACATACTTTATCTCCCGTGCCTTCAACATTTTTTTTGGCAGCTTGACAAAGAGCTTGCATTAGTTTATGTAGATTAGCTTCTATTTGATTTGCTTGTTCATGCATAAGAATGGTTAATTCTTATTTTTTGGTTGAGAATATTGTGCTATCTAAAATGTCTTGGTTACTGTTGTCTTGGATGTACTGGCCATAACATTTCATCCTTTGCTTTATAGTACTTATTGGCATTGTGTCCTCTGCGATTAACTTAATTTACTTTGTCTGGCAGACAAACACAAGTGTTTCTACTTCTCTGGGGCCATTTTTCTTGCCACAAATAACATTGATATTCTTGGACATGCTAACAGTTTATAGGTATAACATTGATTTTCTTTTAGGGGTTCTTTTGAGTGGGTTACTTGAGGAAGAGAAATGAAGTTACTTTAATCGTTTACCTAGTTAATATGTTTTGAACCATTCATTTTCTCTCGACAGAATGTACAGTGAGCTAATATCTAACTCTATAGCAGAAGGGGGGCCATTTGCTTCGAGAACATCTTTTGTGAAACTTCTTCGGTGAGTTTTGCAAAATACTCACCACTAACGAGCCATTGGTTCTCTTTTGTCATTCATGTATATATTTCTCATTTTTTCTCTTATTAATTGATTGGTTTTTACCTTTTATTTTGAACAGATCAGTTAAGCGGGAAACACTGAAGTTGATTGAAACATTTGTTGACAAAGCTGAAGATCTACCACAAATTGGAAAGCAGTTTGTACCTCCAATGATGGATCCTGTTCTTGGTGATTACGCCAGAAATGTACCTGATGCGAGGGAATCTGAAGTCTTGTCATTATTTGCTACAATTATAAACAAGTATGCTTGTGCTCCTAACCTTAGACTTTACTTTGCCACATCCTACCAATCACTAATTTTTTTTTTCATGTTTATTTACGCTTGAGAGTTACTGGGCCTCAAAAAGTTGATTTGTTTCTCATGTCTTTGCATCCATGCCACATGCCTTCTCATTTATTTTTTGGACCCAAATCAAGATATAGAAACCATTTTGCATCAATTAAAAAAGAAGGAAAAAGGAACTTGCAGTTACATGTAGGGTTGTAAAAAATGCTCTTCATTCGCAAATAGCTTGTTTACCTCACTAAGTAAATCATGTTTGATTCATTCATTAAACAAATGAGCCAAACGCGAACAATTTTTTGGAGCTAGATTTATAAGCGAGCCAAACACGAATAAACTTTTGTTTGATCGTATTTCACTGATTTTTGCTCGAATTAATTAAATAATAAATAAATATCATTATCATAATATTTTTATATTAAATTTTATATTACAACATCAACAACAATAAGCCTTTATCCCATTAAGTGGGGCCGACCAAATGAATCTTATTTATTCTTTGCGTCATTTTGAATGTCGTATTTTCATTTAATTTTAATAGATTATGATCATTTTTAAGACAATATGTCTAAGTCTTTTGTAGGCCTACCTCTGCCTTCTTAACGTAAGTTGATTCTAAAACATCCACTCTCCTAATAGGATCATCAGATGGTCGATGTTTAAGGTGACCAAATCAGCTAAGATGACTCTCTCTGTAATCTTGTCTGTCTCTGGAGCTACACCAACCTTATTATAGATATATTCATTTCTCATTTTGTCTCTTTAGTGTCTAGCCTCTCATTCACTCAAGCATTCTCATCTCTAAGCATTCTCATCTCAACAACGCTCAACTTTGTTTTTTTTATTCAATTTTGAAGGCTAACATTCTGCGCCATAGAGCATTGCAGGTCTCACCACCATCTTATAAAATTTTCCTCTCAGTATAAGCGGTACTTTTCTATCACACAATATGCCCGATGCATTCCTCCACTTCAACCAACGAACTTCAGTTTTGTTGATAACATCCCCATCTATATCACCATCACTTTAAATAATAAACTAGAGATTTCTAAAACGTTCACACATTTTAATGATTTGATCACACATAATTACAATTGCAACTAGAACTACTACTACTAAGATTACATTTCGTGTATTCAATTTTAGATCTACTCAAAAGAAGGCCATTAGACTCTAATGTAGGTCTCATTAATTCAAGTTTTTCCTGAACTTTTTCCCAAATCTGATCCCTAAGAAAGATATTCATCAGGGAAAAACATACACCAAGGTACATCTTCCTGTAAATGTCCAGTAAGAGCATCCATAACTAAAGCAAAAATATATTGGCTTAAAGTCGATCTGTGATGTGATCCAACTGAAATAGGAAAATACTTGGTCAATCCTCCTTTTGTTTGAACACATGTAACAACTTTAGGATACATATTTTTAATGACTTCAATATAATTCAAATCAACGCCTCTCTTCACTTTAAGGTCTGTTTGGGGCAGCTGGAGCTTATCCAGCTTATGCTGATAAACAACTTATCTTGATAATTTGCTGATGAGCAGTGAGCAGTTGATCCGGATAAACTGGCTGGCTGTTTGGTTTGTGCGTTTTGAAAACAATTGGTCTGGATAAATGACCATTCTATCCCTGTTTTGGATAAACTATTTAGTTGTTTGATTTGTGCGTTTTGTGAATAACTGATTTGCAGATTTTCTTAGTTAAATGAACAATATGTAATTTGTACTTTTCTCAACAAAACAATAATGTATACGTGTTACATATTTTAAAACCAATTAACCATCTTTAGGCACATTCGACACATACAGACCACACAGAAATTCCAAGTTGTACTTTTCTCAACAAAATAATAATGTATACGTGTTAGATATTTTAAAACCAATTAACCATCTTTAGACACATTCGACACATACAGACCACACAGAAATTCCAACATAACATTGATTTATATGGAATGTGACAAGTTTGTAAAATTCAAATGTTTGTACTACTATCATTTAAAGAGCTATGATTATATTGAGTAGTTTGGATGGATTGCACTAGACATGATTCTGGTTGGCTTTCTTTTATTTGTATAAGCTAGTGCCCAAAGGAGTTGAACTGTAAGCTTCTATGTGTACCTCATTATCGTAGGATAGTTATAGATTTGATTTGAGACAATTATGCCAGATAATTCATACGCAATAGGAATTGCGAGCTAATACATGCAAAATCCCAAATAGAAGCATTGGAAAGTTGATTTATGCATTCCAAAGTATATCAGAAGATCTACAAGGATTGTCAAACACAAAAATTGAGCACTTGGATATGGATGTATTCTAAATGCTACTAACATTGGCTCAAAAGAGACGAGAAGTGAATTTCTGGATATTGTATACTAACAAATAAAATAGAAACAAGCAGTCACAGATTTACGTGACAGGCGAATGGAAAGTTATGGCCCAATCTATATGTAAAATTATATGGGTAAAGCGCTTCTAAGATTGTTTGATTTTCTAATTATAGTTGAGGATTGATACATTAAAAGTTATTTTATCATCTACATTACCAAAAACTCTAATGAGAAGCAATTTGAGGAAACCATTCTTACCTGCGCTCCTTGCTCTCCTTCGCTTCAACTGTTGCTTTTGAGGTAGGGGCTTCGCCTAGCTTTTGGCAGAGGAGCGATGGACGTAGGGTAGAGGAGCGACGGAGGAAGGGGCTTCGCTTAGCTTTCGTTAGAGGAGCGACGGAGGTCTTCGCCTGGCTTTCGACTGGTAGGGAAAAGCTTCTGGTAGGTAAAAGCTTGGAGCGAAGATCTCCGTGAAGGTTATGGATGAGGGTTTTCCCGAGAGAGGGAGGGCAGAGAGGTGAAAGGTGGAGCGAACACGGATGGCGAACGCCGATCTCGGGTATAACCCTGCGTCCAGCTTGTAATGTAAATAAGAAACGTGGTTTTGAGATAATCACCAAAAACGTGCAAAACAAACGGTGAGGCGGCGTTTTCACTTATAAGCTGCCCCAAACAGACCCGAACTCTCCAAAGGACTTCTTTTGGAACCTTATCGTAATTTTTTTCTAAATAAATAAAAATCATATGGAGATCCTTCTTATTCTCTTTGCATTTCTCCATCAAACGTTTGATTAAATGTATAGGTTCCATAGTAAACCCTTCCTGATATAAATCCAAACTAATTATGAGAAATCTTTGTCATGTCTTAACCTATGTTCAATTATATCTTTAATAATTTTAAAGTATGACACATCAACTTAATTCATCTATAATTTGCACACTTTTGTGCATTCTCTTTATTCATAAAAATAGGGATCAAAATACTCTTCCTCCACTCCTCAGGCATGATTTTAGTATAAACCAAGAAACACCTAAATATCTTGTAAATATTTCCACACTTAGGGTTGTCAAAACGGCTCGCTGTTCGCGAACAGTTCTTGTTCGACTCATTAAGAAGCTCGTGTTTGACTCATTCGCTAAGTTAACAATCTGAACACGAACAACACCAACCAATATTTGTTCGTTCGTGTTCGGCTCGTTTTGGCTCGAAATACTACCAATCAATTATATATATTATTAAAAGTTTTAATTAAGAAAATAGAATAAAAATTATTAAATTAGATTCGAATGATGTTTTAAATATTGCCCCAATTCTTAACATCTTATGGCTACGTGATTAGTGTTGTCAAAACGACTCTTTGTTCGTGAACGGCTCGTGTTCGGCTTGCGAAGCAAACGAGTCGAACACACACACTTTTTGAGCTCGAAATATAAATGTGCCGAACACGAGCTGAGCTTTGGCTCGCTCTTGTTCGGCTTGTTTACACCCCTATCCACACTTCAATTGAGATATTTTCAGGTCCTATTGATTTTCCACCCCTTTTTTTTATGCCTCCTCAAACTTCATTTCTACTAATACGATGATAAAAATAAAATATTTTATTAGTATTAAAGATATTAAGGTCACTAATGTTAATTATATTTTTTGAAACCTCATTGAAAGGTTTATCAAAATAACTAACCCACATATTTTGAATATTTTCATCTAAGAGAAACACTTTTTAATTTTCATCTTTAATATATTTTACTTAGAATTAAAGTTGCACTTCTCTTTTCTCTTTGTTTGACTAAACTATACAAACATTTTTCACCCTCTTTTATATCTAATCTCCTATAAAGATCACTAAAACCAAAATTTTTAGCATCACAATTTTTTCTCTTAGACTCCCTACGGGTTACCTTATATTTTTCTCAGTTCTTTAGGCTTTTACATTTAAACAAATTTTGATAATACAACTTCTTATATTTTATCTTTTTTTGCTCTTAGGCTTTTACATTTAAACAAATTTTTATAATACAACTTCTTATATTTTATCTTTTTTTGCTCTTTATTATTTCACTACCAAATATTTTTATTTATAAAACCTTTCATTTTCATTCTCCAAGTATATCTTTTGCCACTTGTTTAAATAATACTTGTTACTTTATCCCACATAGAGTTTGTATGTTCATGAACATTACAAATCTTTAAATCTTAAAGTTTACTCATAAAATTAATTTTATTGTTATTTTAGGCGCCCCATCTAATTTTATGATAATGTTTTATTGTATTCATTATCTTACAACTCTTCATCTTAAAATCTTGAACTAATAATTGAACTAATAATCAATATTAAGTACTTAAATTTTCACTGAGAATGACTTTACAATCTTTACACTCACAACGATCACCTGTTCTCTTAGGAAAATAATCAATTTGTATTTTTTTAAATCCATTCTTATAAGTAATAATATGCTCATCTTTTTTTTGTTACTTTATCCCACATAGAGTTTGTATGTTCATGAACATTACAAATCTTTAAATCTTAAAGTTTACTCATAAAATTAATTTTATTGTTATTTTAGGCGCCCTATCTAATTTTATGATAATGTTTTATTATATTCATTATCTTACAACTCTTCA